ACCATCGTATTCCGGCCGTGAAAGCCTTCGACAATACACTGTGTAATCTGTTTGAAAGTTCTCCCTTAACTGCTTGTTCATACCTTCCATCTCCCCAAGGTGAGTTCTTAATTCCTTTACATGTCTGGCCTCTTGATTAGAAGAGAAAAAACCTTATGGAAAGGAAGGGATTTTATAAAGCCATTCCTTGCCACAATCAGTTTGAATTGCAAAGCATTTCAAAGAACAGAAAACATAGCCTGCTTTTCTCCTTCTTTATCCTTATCAATCTGGTTTGTAAATGCTTTCAGGAAATTACTACTTCTGATTGAGTGTGAATTGGTCTGCTCCATACCTGGAGTTTTGGGCTGCTAGCAATGCACTGGCCCTGGTACATTTTGCTGTGGGGTGAACAGCAGGAACATGTCCAGAAACAGATGTGGGGTATAATCTCAGTGTGGTGAATCCACAGATAATGGCAGTCCTCCCCAGTATGCTCCAGCTTAAATTAGTACTGTGCCATATCTTGAGACAGACAAAGCTAGGTCAGATCCATTCCATCCAACTCATCCATCAGATCTAGAGGGCAAGGTTAACAGGGCAACCCAAATTCTGTTAGTTGAAGAAAGGGTCAGAATAAGAATGAAGAAAAACTTTTGTACCCCTCTTCCTATCTCTTCTCCACTATCTGCTATAATTCCTTTGTTCATAATTTCTATAATAGGGATGCCCCCAAACCCTTCCTAATTATTTCTTCTGTTCATAATAAAACCAAATCCAACATGCATCAAATTGCAAATGCAATCCAATCAAAATATAATTGGTTTAAAGTACAAAAGCACTATTAGTGACCATCACTAATAGTGCTGCTATGTACAAAGGCTAGTGTAATGCTACGTGGGAATGACCTTGGGACGCAGGAGGATGAGCCACAGCCTAGACAACAGTCTGATAAATGAAATCTGAATCTGAAGGAGGGGTCGGGGTAGAGAAAATGTCTCAGAAGTGACCCTCCTTAGTTTTGGGAAGAATAAAAGTAAGGGAGGGGAGAGGTACTTTCAGACTTGCAAGATTCTGTTACTGTAGCCTTACAATAAAGATAGTGTTAGTACTCATATTAGTTAGTAGTGTTAGTACGCTTTTTGTCTGGACTACCTCAAAAGGCTGACAGCTTATTTACTTACTGTGGGGCCATGTTTAGTCTTATGCAACATGTTGAGGTTTGTACAGTATTCAAAATATGAGCATGGCAAGGAAAGAAGTAGGCGAAGTCGGAACAAAAGATGGGAAGAACAATTAATATTTAATAAATAAATGCCAGGATATTCTGCCTCTGAAGGTGCTATCCAGGAGCTTCCAAGTGACCTAAAAGGAGAGTGTAAAACTTATCAGGAAAGATAGTTTGCTTTATATTCTATATACCACTCACCAGTATTTTTCTTAAAATTAAAGAAATTATCTTGAATTAACTAGATACTAAAAAATATACCTCCAGCAATTTGTAATCAGGTGTAGCATTTAAGAAGATAAAACTGGGTGATTTCAAAGGCAAACATTTCAGTTCCAAAATATTTCTGAAGTTTAACTGAGTAGGGACTCTGCAATCCAGATGGGTTCAAGAGATCTACTTAGATTTTTGAATTTGTCAAATGTAAGCATCTGCTCTCTAAATGTCATACACACGGACTACCTTAAGTAAATACATTTTGGATGTAACTATCTTTTAAACTGCATTTCAGACATTTGTTTCGTTTTCAATATGTCAACAAAGTGCCACTGTTTAACATCCGAAGCAATATTCTAGAAGTTGTAACTGCCAACCCAAAGATACTACAGCTTCCAAATACAACAGTGGGACCAGGCAGTTCTCCACTGGAGAAAGATGCTGTGAAGAGATGGGCAACGTACAATGAACGGTATGCCCAGGACAGGCAGGCTGAGCTCCAAGATACATCAGCATCACCTCAAAAGCAAACCAGCAGTAGGCTTGTCACAGTGGAAGCTCGTCAGAAATCAACTGAGAAGAAAGAAGGGCCTTCATTAAATAAAACTCAAGCCGATGACAGTAATGAGATACCTACAGCAAGTCAAAACCTGGCTGAGACTTTGGTTGCAACACAATCATCTAATAAAGATGGGAAGAGTATTACACCAGCATCCAACAAAAGAGAAGAAACAAATAAAAGTATGGTATCAGGACATGAAGAAAAGGAGAGAGCAAGGACCAAATATGTAACACCAGCATCCCCAAGAAAGCAGACTGTGGGAAGGAATGCCACAAGAGCAGCTAATCAACAGCAGTTTCACGGTGAAAGTGTCACACTGCTCTCTACAGCAAAGCAAACTCACCCGAGAAAACAATCCACCACAGCAAAACTAATTAACGAACACTCTGCTAAGGCATCAGTATCTGATGTTCAACAAGTCACACATCCGGCTCCTTTAGCAACATCCCCTAAAAGGTTAAAAGCATCTGACTTTAAATCTGAGCCCCGCTGGGAGTTTGATGACATTTATCTCTTGGATAATTCAACACCACCATCAGTAAGTAACCATAGCATGATTTTGCCATAAATTTCCTAAAAACATTTGTTCTTACTGCAACACACACACATATTAATAACTATATTCTGTGATACAATCAAACAAGGGGTAGATTTTATTATGATGCATGATGCTTCCTGTTCTCTTCCCTTCTTTGTAATTTTTCTTGGCAACTATCTGTTATGAAGGTCTATCCTAGGCTACATCTGCTTTAGCTTGAGATAATAGCTACCAAATGAAAATAGGCCATATTGTTAAAGTGCAGCATGTTTAATTTCAGTTCAAACAGATCTCAGTGAGGGTAGATGTCATGCTTACCTGCCACATGTTCCAGGTTTCAGATAGGTTTGGAATTAAACTCTCCAAGTACATAATCCAAATGGATTACATTGGATCTCATGGAAGGAAAAAGAGCAATAATATTTCTTAAAGATATGAGATAGTTGCTAAGAATCTCAACAGAAAATGAATCTGAAGTCTACTTCTTGTTGAGATTGTGCTGTACCATGTCAGAGAGAAGTAGAAATTTAGTGGATTTTCCATATACAGTAATGAATATTGAGTGCTCTTCTAATCTACTATCCACATTAGGATTCTTTGCACATGTTTTGGGATTTAGACTTAATTTTTCTCAAACATTTCAGTGACTTTTGTGGTGCCTAACCAAGCGTGTTTCCAGACAGATGGTTTCTAGTGTTACTAGTCTCAAGGAATTTTGCTACTGTTTAATGTTTCCCTTAACAGATAATTTTTGGTAAGAGAAAAGGAGGAAGATATTGAGAACATTGGAGGATTACAAGTGGAGAACAGTATCTTGACCCCTCATAACATTCTTTGAAAGAATCACAGCATATGGAAGCGTACGGAAGTATCCTACTGCTGTCACCAAAAAGAAAAAGAAAAGAAACAATCCATAAGGGAAAAAAATCAGCAGGAAAAAAATTATTCTTAAAAAAAAATCACAACCCTAGGATTATTTTAATTATTAGACTACCTGACACTGTGCAGATCATATTCACTTTGAGATCTCAATCACATCAATTATTATCAGAACTCTGTAAGTCAATCACAAGGATGGAGAGCTGCTGTGATTGGACAATTCTGGTTTTTCAAACAGTTGTCTCTTAACTTCTCTTCCCTTCTTTCTCCACCTCTTAGACCTGCCCAGATTCTCTGAGGAACAAGGCTGCCAAGTCTGATTGGCTACAGGATATATTCCTACCCAATATTACAGTCTTCATGGACAGGAGTCACTTCAGCAACAGTGAATGGAAGCGTATGGACCATTTTGCTCCACCGTTTGGCTTCATGGAGCTAAATTTCTCATGTGAGCAGCTCTATTAAAGGGTGCATAGTATGGGTCAAAAGCAAGCACAGACCTGGCTGTTTCCTCAAGCCTTGGGCTAGGATATTAAGTGAACTTGGTTCATATGATTTCAGTATTGGGAGGTTTTTGAGTTAGACTCCAGTGGCTTTGTGCTGTATTGATGGATATTTGTGATGGACTGGAATGGAGGAAGGGGGGTGAAAACGGTGCTCTCGTCTCCAGAGCAACGCTCTGGAGA